GCAACAGCTAACTACTGTCAGCCTTTGCTGAGTCACGCGATGATCAATGGAAACGAGGGCACGGCTCTTCGCCAGCAGCAGCAGCAACAACAGCAGCAACAACAGCAGAGAGGTAGGCTTTTTCTGGTCCTGTTTTGAACTGTTTTTGGCTCTGGGGAAGCCCGGACGACGAGCATTTCCGTTGGTCCGCGCCTTTCGTCCATCCGACTACCCTCCATTCTCTCCCTCACACAAACAGCAACCAGCTTGAACACTATCGATCGATCGAACGACCGACCGACCGACCGACCGGGTGACGTTGTGCGCCCGTTAGCTAGCAGGATTGATGACTACTTTTTCCCGTTCTTCTTTACGGCAACATGCAGCTTTTGATCAAAAAACAACAGCATACGTGTTATACTCTTCCATGTGTCTGTACATCTCGTTTCGCCGATTGATCTGCAGGTACACGTAAACTCGCCAGCGAGGCTACAGGTGACCACTAAGATGCCGTACGACGACTTAACGTGGCGGTTAAAACTAAGCCATCGTTTGCTCGCGGGCATTCGACCGTGGATGGCACCGCCAAATCGTCTTAAGCCAACGGACAACAGGCAACAGTTCAGCGGCCGTCGTCGTAGCCTAAACCCCGTTTTATTTGTCGGGTAAAAAAGCGTTTTTTCTGGGTTAATAGTTCTGCGTCCGTTCACGCTGATCCACCGCAGTTGATCGTCATGTTCGACCAGTTTCTTGCCAGAAGCGTTGTTTTTTTCCTTCACCATGCATACTAATAGACTTTTACGTGGTACAGTAAGAAGAGCCTAAAATGAATGATCCACTGACCTAGCTCGTAAGGTCGTGTTTTGTTCGTACGTTGAACGTAACGTCATATTGCCAGACACGACAAAACGCAGACGGCCTAATGAGCGAGGCGTAAAATAAGCGTTAATCAGGGTAGTAAACCGTGAACCGCTGTTCATGCTCTAGAAGATGAAACAGTGGTTGTCAATAACAACCATCGCCTAAGAGTTTCCCGAACTGATAAATTTTTATACGACACTGTGCTGATTAAAAAATGATTTTGTTGTGTTGTGGCAACATTGGTCATAAGCCGTTTTGCTGCTTCTTCTGCTGTTTCTTATAGAGCGCTAATCGCGCCACAGCTCCGCTTTTGATCGGTAGCCTTACCGGTGTGCAGTAAGATGTCACGAGGACAATTTTTCACCATGTGCACTGCATCGCTTATGTGAATTTTGTCACGACCGCTTAAATAACGTAATTGAAGGGACTCGGGTCATTTAAAGTTACGCATACACGTTAAGACGAGATTTTTTATAACAGATTCTTTAAGGCACTGAATTTCTAGGGACATTTAAATCGATTCGAATAGAGCCGTTTCTGCAGAAATAAGACTTAAGATATCACAGCATTTTTTATGGATAGATAGAAACCCATATTGTCCGTTTATGAGTTTAATCAATGACCGGCAAAATTTATAACATAAAATACTGATAATATCAAAATATGCAAATTTGATCAATATTAGAGATAGAGTCAGAAAAACGTTGAATTCAGGAGGAAAGTATCCAAATAATACAATGTATAGTCCTTCTTGCAACTTTTGGATTCCTGAAGCCCTAAAGCCTGAAGTTTCATGACATCTTAGCTTCTTGCTTTTGTGTTACCGTGGAAATTTTACTTCTCCATGACAAATGTCATTGTGAATCGAATAGAGCCGTTTCTGCAGGAATAAGACTTAAGATATCACAGCATTTTTTATGGATAGACAGAAACCGATATTGTCAGTTTATGAGTTTAATTATTGTCCGGAAAATTGACAACACTGAAAATAAGAGAGACCTAAAACAAATCAGACCTGTCAAAGAGTAAACCAGCATCCATGCCCTTCGAACTCCGAATAGACGTACAGTACAACGAGAAGAAAACGGCTATTTTGCGTATGATGAATATGACCAAGAGTGTTCATCACTTAGAACAAATCTGAAACATGTCTTCAACGACGATGAATACAACACACGCCTCATTTCCACCGCTTGATCACACTTTTTTAGTTGAGTCTTTCTTTCTCTTTCCGGCTCATTCCTCTTAGGGTTTATTCTTGGTTATACACTTTAATCTTATATATTTGCCAAGATTTTGTTATAGTTTGCTTCTGACCGGTCAGCGACACATCCTTATCATGTGTTGCTGACTTATTTGTCGAAGCGTACGTTTCCTCATTTGTTTTTTTTAAATACAGCTTTACGGAGTGTGGTATTTTCAACCTGATTCTTGCGCACGTAGTTCGTGACCACTACTTAAGCATAATTTTCTCAGGTCGTGTGGCTAAGTGTTGTTCTGTCGTAGCACGGAAACTAGTAGCTTGCTTTTATTCATTGCCCCATAAGCGGTCAATAAATCGGCTTTTTGTCGAAACCTTTTGCGGCCTGTAGCATTGAGTCTGCGACTAGCGCTTTCTGCTTTTGTGATCTTGTGATGCCTGTTCGTATGATAGTTATTTTGCATCAAAGTAGAGTACTGTTCATCTTTACAACTCTGCGAATATACAGCGTTAGTCGGAAAGTGGGTCCCTAGTCACCGACCTACAACAGGTTGAGATGTCAGCTGCCAGTCGACCAATTCTAGCAATACCTCGTTTTACCTGATTTCAACAGAGGAGTTAACCGCGTATAGCCTGCTTCATTGGTTGCTTGAAATCAAGACTTCCTACCAAGCAAGGTAAGACTTCATACCAGCTTACCGACAGATATTTCTGACTAGTTATTCATATAAAATTGTGCTACCGTTTCGTTAAGGTATATTATGACTAATCATATAAAACGGTGGCAAGCCATCGACTTGACCTTCTGTAGATTGGGCCAGAGTGAAGTTTAACGGCTGCAGATATGTATATTGTTCCGCCTGCTGACCCCGTGGTTTTGGCATAAGCGAAAATCCTTCTATCTGACTTGTTCTCGTCATCGCCGTACCACAGACGCCAGTCAACGTTCCTTCACTCTTCTAGGTGTTACATCTACCATTTGTTTCCACCGTTGACGAACCAGCTTCATCACTGGATCGTCCCAATGTGTTGGCGGACAACCAAGTGGACGTCTTTTTGCTGAGGGGGATTGAAGCTGGTTACTTACTCGGGATGTTCACCAGTTGTCCTTTAGACTATAGTTGCAAGAGGCAGCGAGTACATCCAAAACTCGTATCTGGAACATGGTATCAAGGAGAACCTTGCATATTCTCGTTTTGATCGCTTTTTGCGATTTGACTGTTAATTTCCTTTCCTCGGCCTTGGTGGTCGATCAGCACTCCGCGCCATAAGTCATGGTGGGAAGGACAGCGGATTCGAACAGTTCTTTCTTCGTAGATATGGCCAGCGCTGTGCAGCAGCGATCTTTCGATGTGATTGAAATTCGACAATGCTGCTCTACTGATCTCGCCATTGATGCTGTCAACGGAGTCTACTAAGTGATAGAGGTGTACGCAGCCAGTGACATTTTCCACCTCTTCGCCGTCAATCAAGGAACACAGTGCTGGCTGCGCATCCACATCTCGCGAGACTTCTTCACCTGCTCAATCTTTGATTTGAGTTCCGCAGGGTCTTTGGCAAGGATATTAACGTCGTCTGCAAACAGCAGATGGGTGAGCCGTTCTCCGACGTTG